GATCGTCTGATCACTCGCCGTAGTTCAATACGTGGCGAGTGATTAGATAGCTGAGAGAGCGTAGTGTTGAAGAGGGCACAGCGATGAGAGTCGCATCAATGCTCAAATCAACGGACAAGGAAGGGGTCCCATTTCTCCGGTTCTGGGTTTTTCGTGGTTTCGCTTTCTTTCTGGTACTACTCACCATCTCTACCTCAATTTGGAATGGGTTGCTTTTCCATCGTAAATTCGTCCTTTAAGGTGTTCATAATCAAATTCAGGAATTTTCGATGATCCGGTGTAGATCAACCCTTTATTGGGAACGCCATGCATTCTAGTCCCATCTACAATTGAAGTAAAGTTTTATTTTGAATGCAATTTGACCTACATACACAGTGACGTGTGGGAGGCCAGCTGATGGCGGGTGGAGGGCATGGTTGGCCGAGTGGCTTTCGAGCCAGAATTTTATACGATGACGATGGGCTGATGCGACTGCGCGGCAGCTTTGGTACAAACGTTTTTCGCATATGCTCGACTTCTTCTCAAGTGTTTTGTGCTCATTCTATAGGCCGCACATCAACATAACCAAACACCACGTGGCTCGTAGAATGGCGAAATATTCTTTAACACGACCGCCATTATGCACGCACTGCTTCAACATTTTTTTACATTCTCTTATCAGCAGGCATCAATCCTTCAGCTTTTTCATCATCAGTGACAAAAAAACTGTTTTCCAGATCCGATAATGTACATGGACCGTTGTGGAACAGAAACAAACGCCAAAAAATTAAGGAAAAGTAGTCTTCCTCCATGTGAAAGTGTGGAATGACGTCATAACACACTGTCGACAACGTGTTAATTTGGCGTAGGATTTCAAGGCCCTACGAAAATGTCTGTTCAGCTCATTCCGTTTTCTTATCAATAACGTGAACATGTCAATGAAAAAGAGTAGAATCCACGTTTGAAACAATTTTGAAACCCCTAAAGTGGAAGTAAGTAAAATTCGCCTTCTCGTGACTATGACACGTCATTTTGGTCGACTTCCATTACTGTTACTCCCGATAAGTTAGACACATCGAACATTATTGAAACACTTCTGTCGCATCTAAGTATTGCGTATTTACAGCTCAAAATTCACGGATTTGATGTAAGGCGGGGCGCTCGCAAAATCGCTCTGGTCTCACGCGGCTAAGGCCGACGTCATACTTTGCGATTCGATTAGCGATTCGCCAGCGATTCGCTAGCGAATCGAGCGAATCGCCAATCGAATCGCAAAGTATGACGTCGGCCTAAAAAAACCAAAACGCGCGATGTCATCAACGTGTTAATTTTCGAACAGTATATGCGCATGAAAACGGCGCCATTTACACTACACCACTCCCACTCGTTTTGGCAAATTACCAGGCAAGATCGCTGCCACGCACAAGCCTAAGAAGCTGTTAAATAATTCCAAGAGATAGAGCGTTCCAACAGTAAAAGTGGCAAACTTGTATCAGCTTCCCTGGAAAAGCCATCAAAATTTACCAAACTATCTCACTGAAATGAAAAGTAGGAATCATCCAAGCTATTGGACGATTTCAGTCAGAATTCGAATTGTGGCGCATCCTAGCGAAAATTTTGTATGAAGCAACAGAGAAAAGAAACCCTTCTCATACTTATACCTTGATTTCATACTGATGCTTCTTTTGCTTAACTCGGTCCTGAGGCATCACCTTTTCAAAACTTCGACTCTTTAAGCCGTGTCCAGTTGCTCCCCTCGAGGCTTCCTTGGCGAAAGCAAAAGTGAACTTCTTCCGATGGAAAAAATGAAGAGCGCTTCAGAAACCAGTTTCGCTTTGTCCTTGTGAAGCTCTCGAGCAGAAAAAGGCATCGATTCCTTGAATATGTGGAATAGTTGAAGAGTTTGCAGGCTCAAGCGGGTTTTCAAAATATTTTCTCACCTTTCCCATCTGCACGAGTTAGCAGCTCGATCATTGCAGTTTAAAGCTTCTCCTCATGATCAACACGTGTTTATTCTTCTCCCTGTACACTGATTAACGTCATCAGCTGGGCGCGATCGACTTTTTCACGGACTCGACTCTTTTTCGCTGACATATCGCTAAGTGCTGGGTTATATTTAGCACGAGTGAAACTTTAAAATGTTGCGGACAATAATCAGAGATGAGCATTGCTCAGTTCAGGGCAACCTTGGCGCTGATATATGTCCCTTGAGAAGGAAATCCTCTGGACAAGCGAACATTAGCTTCTTCAAAATCGTGAGTCAACTATTATGCTCACTTGTTTACTAACGACATCGCGGTCTTTGTCAAATTCCGGCACCTTCTGCTGATCGTCTGTTCAACTACCTACATAATACCCTGTATCCAAGGTTGAAATGCGATAGTGTAAAGGAACAACTTTCCTTGCCCTTGTTTTCAATTTGTTACGCGGTGCACGTGCCTTCATAATGATGAATTAGACCTAAGGTATGGTATGGCCCTGTGCTTTGCATGGGAGTAGTCGGTAGTTGGTGTTTATTTTGTAAGCACCGGGAATGACGTGACGAATTTGGCGGCTGGACAGTGTTGATGGATGGTCAGCAGCCAAGTTGAAAAGTGAGCTACATGGATGACGATGCGTGAAGACTGCAGAGGATGGTGCTTGGGGGATGGAGTCCATGACGCCTGTTTGCTACGACGAGGCGGCCTTTGTTTTTCTTAGCGAGGCAGCGGCTGCTGTGCTGGCGGTGGCGGTGGCAGCGACGGCACCGGGCGGCGAATGAATGGAGCGACTTGGTCGTATGTGGACGCGGCTTTCCGTACGTCGACCCACTCTACCAGCAGTTGAGCCAAATGCGGAAGAAGATGATGACGATAGCTTGCCATTCACGAAGAACGAGGTGTTCGAAATGTTCTCCCGATCCAAAGGGTCACAACATCGGAAGTCGGATGGAGCCAATCTACAGCGCCCCCGTTGTAGCGTCGACAGTGCGGCACGTGTGTCCTCATCACCACAGCGGAATATAGTGACACCGCCCGTACCTCGAGAATCGTCCTTCGGCCGACGTTCCATCAACACTGAAAAACGACAGTGAAGAACGGCTGGTGAAGTCGCCATCTAAAGCCCTGGTGGTACCGAAGAACTCGAAACATTCGCATTCACTTGGCGAAAAACGTACTTCGAGTTTTCATGAAGAATCCTGTAGCTATGTGCCGAATCCTGACAGATACCGCAGTTTTTACAAGGAACGCAAAAATGCAGTAAGTGGTTTTGAATTCTGGAAGATTTTACACATTTTGCTAACTCACCTATTTTCTTCTGTGCTCGTGGAGCTTGCTAGGATAGTACTGCTTTTTATAATTTTTTCTTTTTAATTGATCAGTCTCAATTCGCATTTTTTCTTCAAGTATTTCAAAAAAGACAAAATTTGTCTCTGTTCGGAAGAAGTGAAGTGGTGTCAATTGTTTTGGCTATGGCTGGTTCCTTCGTACTTCCAACTGGCCTAGTTACCACTCCCTCTCTAGAGAGGGTATACCAAAGGACCACCCAGAAGATGTCTAGCGACGCTTCCGGGCACCAACCAAGGCTGGAAATGTTCAAAATTTTGAGAACATCATTGGAGAACTTGAATTTCTAGTACCACTACAATAGGAGTTCGTTCTGGTCACACTGTGATTGCAGGAAAGTACTGCTCATTTCTGTGCTCATTATGATGCTGAGGAGGTTTTGCATAAACAGTTTGCAAATAGTAACGGTAGAAAAGGTTTCGAAGGCTTCGGATACTTAGAAAAAGAGAAAAAGGATTTTTTTTCTAATCATTGGCACGTCCGCTACAAGAAGTTTATTCGCTGGCACTTGTTACGAAACGTAACCGCTTTACAATTAATTAGCATATCATTAATCTTGTTACAACTTGTCTGCAACATTAACAAGTTCATTATCATTGTCTGAGCTTGAAATCGTACAGTCTCTAAAGATCAAGTGCGCTTTCGGACATTTCCGCATGGCTTCTCGTTTGTTCAGTAGTGTCTCCCTGTCATTTCATTCCACCCTTTTTTTTATCTCCCTTTTTCTCCTGGGATCTCCTCCAGTTTCCTGTGTTTTCTCCAGTTTCAATTAGCATGCGATCCGAGATTTGTAGTCCTACTTGAATGTTTCTTGAGGCCTACATACTTGACTAAAACCTCCTGACATGTGTTTTTACTGGAATTCATTTCCTCGCTTCATCATGACATTATGCCCCACAATTAAGTGATGAGGGGCTCGACGAAGAACAAGTTTTAGCCTGTAGAGATACGTGTAGTTTCAGCCCCTTTATGCAGAAACAGTTTTGATTGAGTGGGGGGTCCAGCAGCTGTGATTCCAAGGGCTACTCTAGAGTTGAACCATGGAGAAGTCACAGTTTAGAGCATCAGAGTTCACAATTTTTCGTTGGAATACTTTATTGGGTGTGTTGAGAAGGAAGGGTTCGCTTAAGGAAAGGCTCAGTTCTTGCCCACTCTGCAATACTGAGTCCGTGTTTAGCCTTGAACGTCGTAGGTGGTTGATTACGTGAAACGTTAAGCACGGATGTCTCAGGAACTGCAGCGGAACTATCCGTTATCTTTCAAGGTTTACCAACACTTGTACTGTGTTACCACTTCACTGTTTTTCGTTTCTGTTGATTTTCACATAGTAACAAAGAAATTTCTCAAAATCAAATAGCAGACGAAGTGAAGCTAACTAGGACTTAGTTGAGGAGTCCTGCGTCCTATCAGATCTCCCTTTTATGGGCAGCTCTAATTTTTTTCTGAATGACTTACTGCTTTACCACTTCCATTAATCTTCTCTCCTACGGAATCCGATGAATGTTAGAAATTCCCTTTTCCTATGAATGTTTTTTTTTGAATAGATGGGAACTCTTCAAATTGACTATTCACCTGTGGCAAGGCTGATACTGCGAAGTGCGTTAACATTCAGAGCGGCTTGAAGAACTCAAAGCTAATTTTAGCTATGCGGGCCTAAAATTGGGCTAGCTGGTGTATTTTCGAGGAGTTTCGCAGATGCAGCAGGTTAGTGGCAAAGTTATGGATGCGACCATAACCCTCTTGAAAATTTGGGTAGCTAATTTCAGTGGCAGTGTGATTCCCAATGCTTGGATAGGAGTCAGGTGGAACTCAAGGAGCTTTCAGAATCTTTTTTTTTTCATCACACGTCTATCCTGCTACTGTGAAACTGACCTGATCGGGAGGAAGACGGGGTTCTAAGACGAATTACGACGGGATAGCGAAATCAGTTTTATCTCCATGAAATAGTTGGCCAGTCAAATTGGCGTAAATTTTCTGTAGTATCTGTGACGCGAACATGTGTGAGTCCTGTTTGCTTACATCTCGAACATAGCGGATAAAACACAAGGAATACGGTCTGGTCTCGGTCTCGGCATGTCCGATCCCTTTGTCTTACGCTCGAGCAATCTGTCATCTGTCGTGTTCTATTGATTATAAAACTAGACCCTTCTTTTGATTGATTTTGAACGCTCACTCATTTATTTTCATTCGTTTTTCCATTCATCATTTCTTCCGATCTCAAAATAACTGCTTTTCTTCCGAATTCTTTATTGCAGTTATCAATTATTTACTTACTGTCATGGTCTCTGCGTGAGTGACATCCATTACGAAGTTCATTACATCCGCGACCCTTCTACTAGTCGTTGCGAAAAAACTACTATTTTGGATTATCCGCCGCTCATGCCATTGTAACGGGTGAAATCACGCAACCCTTGGTTGGCAATCGTTTCAACTAGAAGATTGTAAACAACACTTCTCCAACCATCTTAGCCATTCGATCCGTTGGGGTTCATTAGGGGGTCACTCATAACGAGGAGTCACTACACATTGAATAGCAAGGTAAATATCGGTCGAGGATTCCTCGACATCTTGTCGAGGATTCTCGGTTGCTCAGTTACGCTGTCTGGCCAACAATCATAGTCACCGTACGCGAGTCGCCTGTGCTCCCGTTCACTCTCGCCACTACTCTCGCACAGTAGAGAGCCATGGTCGACGAATTCTTCGACCGTTATTGAACCCGTAACAGGCTTGCAGGACGGCGTTGACCGAGAAATGATTTATGAGCATAGCCCTTTTTTTATTTCGAATATCTTTGTTTTAGAATGCCTCATCACGAGCGTCCGACGCCTCCGAGGTTGTGAGCCCACGACGTAGCAGTGTGTTTGTGAAACGCGGATCAGTAACGATGGACCCGATAAAAAAAGTGAATATCGAGGATGTGTACACTGTGTATAAACAGGTAACTACTCAAGTCTTCATAGGTTCATTTGACGATACGATTGAAGGTATCGGAAAAATCAAATGATTTAGCTCGGTACGGGACGATTCGGGTACATCAAACTTGCCGAACACAAACAATCCAAACAAAAAATCGCTATCAAGTTCTTCCCTCGACCTCAGACGAAACAGGTGATTATGCGCACTTCAACTAGTACGCGAGAGTTCCCTCGCAAGAACGGAACTTGTACATTTGGTTGACGCTAAAGTGAACCATCCACGCAAGGCCGATGTCAGGCTTTGCGGATCTAGCGATTTGCTCGCGTTCGAGACCGCGTGGCGGTAAGGGGTTCGTCGGCCGCTATGCGACCGCGCATGCTAGCAAATTGCTTGATTCGCAAAGTATGACTTGGGCCTAAGTGTTTTTCTAATCAATGGCCACTGCTCTTTTTAGGTTGACTTTATTCGGGAATATAACTATTCTTTCTTTTTATCGCCACACCCTCAAATTATCGACACCTACGAAGGAATGCATCAGGTTGGTTTGGATTTCGGATTTTATCAGTGTTATGAATGCAAACTTTCTCCTTCTTTCTGTGAAGCTACGTAAGCATAGTATTTAGCAGGATATTATTTTATTTGATTGATACTCAGTCTGGATTTTACCACTCAATACTACTTTATTCAAAGCAATGCTTCGATTGCTCTTTCCCCATTAATTCGCACAACTGAACGTCGTGCAAGACTCGGAAATCGGAAGTTTACTACTGATTACGAGAACCTAACAGAATTGGTCGACGAAAGTCGGGACCTTTAATACGCTTTAAGAATACTCGACTTCATGTGATCTCGCAAATTTAACTTTAGGGTGACCTATCTGAGGTATATACGAACTAGCCCAAAGGGTTACCTGGCGGGCAGTCTTCACTTGAATGATGTGTTTTTCTCTCATAATAATGTATGGAATCAATAAAGCTTGGAGAGCAACTTGATGCTTTCACTTGCATAGTATTTTATAGCCCATATCAGTTTTTGTATCTTTTTAGCCTTTTTTGAGAAAATGTATTGCAATCCGTTCCCGCGAGCGATTTAGTGGCAGATTTTGACCCATAGAGCATGCACGTTTATTGATTGGCACCAGTGAACGATTTCTTCTCAGCTTTGGCCGTCACAATTATTTTTAATAATGGCCATGTTTGATAATTGAAAAACAATAAGCTTCAAGATTTACTCGTTCAAGATAACTGTTTCATAAACTTCAGACAGGAGACGAGTCGGCATTCTTCTTCGTTCAACAGTTCTGCCCTAGTGCCTCATTGAGGGAAGCCGTAGAGGCCACAAATCAGCAAGGTATTTTTCCTCTCTATTTACTACAAAGCACTTTTTACCTGTCTGAGAGGTGTGTCACATAACTCTGTAACATGTGTCGCTAGAAAGTTCAACCGGCGCCACCACGTGACTCTTCTCCATAGCCATAGGAGAACTTAGGGAAAGTATTGATGACAACAATTTTTTAATAAGTTGTTTTTTGATGCACATCCACGGCTGCTTGCCCAATTTTGACCAACGAAGCCTTGAAAATGATCATTTTCAACCAGCTTCTGAAGAAAAGAAAGAAAATGTAGACGGCAATGAAAGAGGTTGCACGATGAGGCTCTTGGAAGGAACTCGAACTGGGACCTTTCTAATGACAGTTGAGAAAGTTGCTATCTCTTGAGGTAGACGAGAAAGAAAAGGAGACCGCGCGAGATCCTTGGCCATGAATTTTTCTGGGTTCTTGTTCTTCGTTCTGGGCCATCCTTGGCCCAGAACGCGACGAAAGTACGGTAATCGGGCTTGATGACAATGTCCCTAGCCAATCAATAGACAGGGTAGGCGTGATCTAGAGCGCTATTTTAAAAGGTATTTCAGGGATTGGTGAGGTCAATACAAAGAAGGTGTTCGGAGCTGTGCTATCCGCCATCGAATTCATGCACAACGAGAATCTCGTGCATCGTAATCTGAAAGCGGAGAACATACTGCTATTCGACAACAATGATTACTCTAAAGTGAGTTTTTATTAGGCTAATACTTTTTAACATGTGTTTACCAGCGGCGATGACGTCACCATTCGACGATAATTTCGATATTGTACTCTTAAACACTTGCGCAATGATCCGGTTCCTCTCATTTACCGTCTTATCATCGACGAGGCTTTTAGATCACTCAAGAATCCACTTGAACGGACTTTTTTTTCTATCAAGCCGTACAATTGCTCGTTTACTTGGAGCCACTCACAAGATAACGAGATTAGCATAGGTGATTATTTTTGACAAAGGGTACATAACATATTTAACCCATTCGCGACAATGGCAGCCACCGGTGGCTGACGCGAAGATGCTCACTTGGGACCATTTCATCCACCGGTTGCCCTCATGGAAAAAGTTTCAGCACCAATTGTTGATTTTTGCCACTTCACCTCACTTCAAGAAAGGGTCGCGAGGGACAATGATGGCCACCGGTAGCTGCCACTTTGCGATCGTCTCAAACAAAGCTCGTCCGAACGGGCAGATTGAAAATCCTGCGCGGTCGCGAATTGGGTTAAATAGTGATCATGTTTGAAACCTCTGCGCACCGTCCAACTAGCGGCTTCCACAACTCCGATAGAAATGGAAAGGTGTGGATGTTGATGCTTAAATAGGGTCATAAAACACCACATGTCGACTACAGCAAGCATAAGAAGGTTTTTCAATCATCTGTGAAACTCGCCATTCAATTTGCCTTCCGGCCGGAGAGTTGATGATGCTCTTTCCTGTTGTTCATGGGTTCTCTATTTCGACAGTGGTCTCACCGGACTGTATGCTTGTACAACAAATAATTGTATGAATAATTTAATGATTAGTTGAAAGGTATCAAGCGAAAGAAATCCATTAGGTGTAATGGGTGAATAGACCTGGAAAAGCTGGGCATAAATGGAAAAAAAGTTGTCAAGAAACATCAGTTCACTCTCAATGATCTCTGGGGACTCTTGGGAGGGGAAGGGGAAAGAGACATTCCCTGGCGGTACGTTCTCTTCCAGAAAAGCTGGAATAAAAGCAAGGGCAGAAGCTAGAAGGGAGTTTATCAGCGAAGCATTCTCACTGATGGTTAGTCTCTAGTCCTCAAGTTCGTTTTCTGAGAATTTTCCCCATTAAAACAGTTTCTCATCTTGAAGAGCCATGATTTCTTTGCGAGACACATGTTCTATGAAGTGTTCTATGAAGTGCAGATTTCATGCAGAAGGTGCGACTTATGTAACCCTGAACATACATAGCCTGAGTTGCCCACTAGCCAGCATTTTCGTGTTCGTTACTGTTGTGGTTTGGTGTATTACTGTAGTAGCTTTTTAGCTTCTAAACAATGTCAGGTCAAGAAACTGGACAAATCGGGTATGAAACAATGATTTTCGACTGTTTTGAGAGAAAGAATGTTGTTTTGGTAGCAGTGTAGTAAAAACAACACAAATCAATGATGATCAATAACGACTAAGTCTTGGCAGTGACGAAGTTAAGAGGCTACAGACATCATGGATGCGTGATATGGCTGGATGGTGTGTGTCATTAGATCATAGTGCGAGCACATTTATGAATAGCTTGCCGCGCACCGAATAGTTGCATGGCGATCGATTTGAATGCTGTTGCGGTAGCACTCTACTAAAAATGATTTCTGCGATGAGATGTGAATGCGATGGATTTGTGATGAAAAGCATTCAATTTTTTGGAGCGTGAACTAATGAAGTGGTCGCAGGTCCAGTTTATCGCGGCGCAAGTTAATAGGCATTGCACGTCGCAACCGCACGCGACGTCGGGCAGTGAACCACACGTTGACACATTAACGACAGCGTGACGCGCAGTCGCGTCACGCGTTCACGACTGAAACTCTTTTTCTCAAACTATCTGGTTTTTTCATCTTTCAAAACTATCTTATAACTTTTTATTGGATTCGGAGACAATACTCATTATCCTTGATGAATTATTGAAAGGGTTAATGACCAAAATACAATAAAATAGATTCTGAATTCATGCCCAACGGCTGCTGTAAATGTGTTAAGATGCTTCCCAGATATATTTCATACGTAATCTGGTAACTTAGGGTTGACGCATGGAGATCAAATCCATACAAAAGACGCTGACTCAAATGAATCTCAATACCAGGCGAAAGGATACTTAGAGTGCACAGTTAGTCATCAGACACTTTACCATTTATCGTTTTGTGACCCAAAACCACTTCAAATAACTTCCATTAATTTACCCTTCCATTGACAAATAATAGAGATCGCAAAGTAAATATGAATACTCGAACACAAGCTGATATCTATTTTCTTGGCGTTTTTCGTCGTCTCCTTCATATCGCACGTGATTTTACGAGATTTTTCGAGCATGTGACATTTAAGCCATGTTGTTCCGCGTTGCACGTCAATGAACTGACTCATTACTTTACATCGAGAATTTACGGCGTAACCAAACTGCACACGGACACACAGATCTCTTTTCAAAAACAATTAGCAAAAATCACGTTGAAGTTTATCCGCTATCCGAAATTTTTTACATTTAAGTTTAGATTTATTAAACAGTTTAAAAAAAAGTAGTCTAAAAGTAAAAAGTAGGAGTGATCTTCTTCGTTCCGTTTCACTTGGGATTTATTTTCGTTGGTTACTCCATGTATTTTTGAAATTCAGCTAGTAAGGAGACCCAGAAAAAAAAAGAAACAAACTTTGAGACCTGGTTTAGTATGGAGGATTCGAGGTCTTGCCAGGATTGTTCCGCATAAGAATAGCCTTAGCGGTCCTCAGCGTGATGATCTAGTTGTGGTAAAATGATCATGACGTCTAAACAGCAGCAATTTTTTGCACATTTTTTCCCATCTGGCTCAGTAATCCTAACACTTGCCGCAAAAGTTGATGCTATTTTAAAGCCCAAGAAAAAAGCTCAGAGGAAATGAAGGATTAGGAGTGTATCCTAATTTTGGCGATGTAATCTTTCAAATTCTTCTCATGCAGTAGTTCACGCTCCAAATGATCGCCTCGTAGGTTATAGTCATCACACTGCATGATCAACGACCATTATAACGAATTCATGTCTCTTAAAGCTGCAGTAGTGATAGCGTCTCCAACCTTCCACTTTTTCGAGCGGCTAAGTAGCAAGCAACTGTTTAGTTTTCAGTGTGCATTACTTTCTTATGAACCTGAATTCTGTTCCGTATGAGCCGTACATTGCCATCTGCCCACCTTGGCGACCGTGCGAGCCGATGACGTGGCACACTTTTAGCCTCGTGGTGGGACGATGTGACACGATGACGTGTCACAGAGTCGTAATTCACTTTTTAGCTGGTTTTCGTACTTTTCAGGAAACTTTTTTCTGTATCATGTATCTCATACTTAAATTTTGTTATAAAAAGCGCGTTCTCTGCATTAGTTGTTTTGTTTGTTGAGTAACCGTAGTAAAAGTAGGAAAAGTAGTAAAAGTTTTTGAAAAAAAAATCGATGGATACTTTAGTCATCGTGCTTTTGAGCTTAGATTGAAAACAATCAATACAAAAATAATTTTTGTAACCGTAATTTCCTGCAACACGTGCAGACCCTTTTGGTCGAGGACGGAGCAATACGCGCTTTTGTTCTTGACAACTGTTTCTAGCAGCTTCTACATCGTCTATGAACATTTGCCTTTGCCTCACGTAATACTTTGAGTGTGTGAGTGGTGTTGGACAGTTAGGTGGAGGAAGAGCTATCAGCTTTTGTTAAGTCAGTTCTAGTTTGACGTTGATCATCTATAATTTGTCGACCAGGTTCCTGCAAAGACCCAGCAATTCTTTCTCCCGGGTATCACCCAGGGTGAATAACGGTCGAGGAAATTCCTCGACCATGGCTCTGTACTGTGCGAGAGTAGTGCCGAGAGTGAACGTACGCGCGGAGAGCACAGACGGCTCGCGCATGGCGAGTGTGAATGTCCGCGCGGGAGAACGTAACTGATCAGGCGAAAATCCTCGACGTGCCGTTGAGGAATCCTCGACCGATATTCACCCTGGTGTCATCCTGGTGTTCCTGTGACAAATAGTCAGTTGCGAAGGTTCCCCAACGGTCATCACAAACTAATTGATCCGATTCACCTAACCCTCCACCGTTCAAGGAGTATGGAACTGAAAGTCCCTCCCGTTTTAATCGAGAAACTCCAGCAAAGATCTATACAAAGTCCGAACCAGTAGCCTCTGCGCACGCCTCAACAGAGCGTCCCCTACTAAAATGAGACCAAGGGTTTCGTTGATTCCAGAAATTTGAAACGATATGCCCTAGTTCACCACAGTTCACTTTCTTCATCAGTAGAATTCTACAATATACACTGACTGATAGATTGAGTAATCTAAAGTTGTCCGTTGGCTCCACTTCGAAGATGATTCCTTTTTCAGGCCAAAATCACCGATTTCGGTTTAACACGCAAAGTTGACGCCGCTGTCAAATATTTGGAATATGTGAACAACTATCATGCACCTGAACTATGTGAGACGGTTGTCAATGAGGTGCTGACGGTGAATAAGAGCACGGACATCTGGGCTCTTGGTGAGCTTTTCTCTACTTTTTCTCAATTTTTCTACACTTGTGCATCAAAACTTCCCGTAGTTACGCCAAGTTGTTCAAAGCTGTTGTCGCGAGCGCCACAACCGCGCCACGTGGCTACCTTTCTTTCTCAAAGACTCATTTGAGGGTACGACACACACAGAGCGTGCGCTAGAAACCTTCATATGCGGCTGAGTTTCGCATGTGAAAGAAACACTCCACACCTATGAGCTCTTCAGAACTAGATGATAGGCGCTTGATTCATTTCCAAGTAGTAAACCATGAAAGTGTCGAAGCAAATGTCAGGCGTAGCAGTATTCTTATTGACGTGAAGGAGCTCTAATCAAAGGGACAGGTTGCGACTGGATCCTCAGAGAAACTCGCTCTTTGAGAGAGGTAGCAAGTTTTTCTAACGCAGAGATTATGTTACTGTCACGACTTGAAAGTGCGTGAGAAGGTAGTTAATGCCTTTCCTTGGCCGCTGCCACCGCTGCCACTCCTGTCAATTGCAGCATACGTGGCGTTTGCGTCCTCCCCGTATGACGTGCTCTTTCCCATTTTCCCTCTCCTTTCTCCTCTGTACATCATACCACGGCCTTCCACACATGGAAATTTAGTGTTTTTATGATGCTTTCGCCTTCTCCTCCATTAAC